TGACATTGATGTATCCGAAAAAGAAAATATGAAATTCTACTTAATAATACTGTTTATATCATCATCAAACTATAATAAATCATTTATAGCAATAAAATATCAACAATGTTCAGAAAAATAATTTTCATCTTGACTCATTGTTCGTCGATATCTTGGTGATTGCGATAATGCTTCATCAGGATCAATATCTTTTATTTTGTCGGGTGTTATTGGTATCCCTGTTGGATCTTCTGTTACAATGCCTGCTTGAATTTGTGCTGTTATTTCAAGTTGTGATGGTGCGTCAGGTATAGATTGACTGCTAATTGATGTTCTAGCTGGTAAAATAATAACATCTTCATCGGTATGTATGATGGAATTCTTTTTTGCAGCTAATTGTTGCTCATTAAGATGTCGTTGTACTGTTAAACGTACACCTTCATCATTAACATCATCATATTCAACATCTTCAGCAATAGATTGTTGTTGTCGATATATATCAGTATTAATACCACTATATGGATGATATAATGATGAATAACGAGGATCCATTCGACGAGATAAATTTCGATTTGTCATTGAATGTACTGTATCATCTTGTCCAAATTCTTGTAATTCATAAACACTATGTAATGTTGATTGATTATCATATGGACGAATTGAAGGTACACCGGATAATACTGAAGCAGCGTCATTAAAATTATTTCCTCTTTCTGGATGTGTTCCATCTTTACGAATATTTCGTTTAACAAGTACAGAACGTTGACGACGAAAACTTTTACTTATTGATGTTGGCATAACTTCGACTTGTATCATTGTTCTTGGTAAGGGAAATTTTTTTGTTTCAGGTAATAAAAGTGCCATTGAACCAAGAACTAATGAAAGAATTCCATAGATAAGACGAGCTCGCCAATCGTTTATTTCGCCCTTAAATTAAATTTTTTTTAAGAAATAAAATAATCTCATATATTATTTACTTACTATATCTGGAGAAGCAAGTGCAATACCAATTAAACGAAATGTATAACAAATACCAAGTGTTGTACATCTTTAAATGATAATAAGAAATAAAATTTCTATAACCACATAGAATAATTTACCTTAAACCTGTTGGAAATATTTCACATGTATAAATAATTAAAACAATAAATGCAGCACGAGTAGCAAATTTTCCTGTAAAATAAACTACAAGCATTGCTGAACGCGCTTGTTCATTATCTATAGAATAAAACATAGATAAGTAAATATGAATAAAATAAAATTTAATTACCAAAGTTAACAGCTACTGAACCAAGTAAACAAACTTCTGCAATAAGGAAAAAGCAAAATGTTGGCCATCGACGACCCCATCTAAAGAATAGAATTTATTCAATTTTACATTCATCAATCTATTTACATATGAACCAAAGGAACTGCAACAACAAATGAAAGAACTTGTATTAGATGTGTATAAAAATAATTTGAAAAAAAATTATCAGTTAAATGTTGTGTTAAATGTGGAACATCAAGACTATATTCAGTTAAAGAACTAACAAGCCTTAAAACAATCAAAAAGAGAAAAAAGAAGTTTTGCATGTTTTTTTGTTTTCAGATAGAAATACAAACCAAAGACCACACATAACAAGTAAATAAATAATTAATATATATGAATGAAGATAATCTGTTGGATAAAATGTTGATAATGTTGGATAATAATGATGACCAGTTAGTATTTGTAATATACGTTGTGTTAAATTATTTTTATTTGTTATAGCTTGTAATTCTACCATATCAAAATCTGGATATTTTGAACTTAAAGATTTAATATCCTCTAAATAAAATTTGTTCTTAATTATATTTATTTAATTAACAAAATATATACAAACCAAGTCGAAGTAATGGTTGAAAATCACATTGAATACCTTTCGAATGTTTACCACGAAGAAAATCACGTGCCTCACGAAATACCTCTTCAAAATTAACGCCATTAAATTGAGCAATTTTTTTTAAAGATAATACAGCTGTAAAATAATCTTTTTGTGTTGTATACCAAAACATCGATTCTTCTGTTATCCTAAATGAACGAGAACTGATACTTTTCTATAGGTTAATTATATTCTATGCTCTTTATTCTTATTCATTTCTACAGATCGATAAACAATGATATTTGTTATGGTTTAAAATCGTCTATCTTCTGTATCAACATACCAATGAAGAGCAGCAGTAATAATCAATGGTATAGTAACAACTGCTTGTAAAATTTTCCAATTTTTTATTAATAATCCAAGCCATGGTATAATCATATCTAATAAAAATACAATACCCAATAATGATAAACCATAGATAGCTCGAGTTTCAATTGGAAACTAAATAGATCTAATTAAAATCTTGTATATACAAAAGAAAATCAATTGTTTACCATTTCCATAACATATGGAATAGTAATAACTTGTACAGCGCCAATAGCCACTCCAATAAAAAATATAAAGAAGACATAAGAAATATAATCATCACTTAGTAATTGAAATATTGATAGAATACATGCTGTCCACATTGAACCTTTAATTATACGTATTAATTTAACAAATAAAGAAATGAGGAAAGTTACCAGATAAAATCATTTTTCTTCCACTGTAATCAGCAAGATAACCAAATACAAGACCGCCAAGAATTAAACCAATTATGTATACTATATAGGGTAGTTTCACGCGTGCCTTATTACATAAAACTTCGTACTAGAATAAGACAAAAATGGATCATTATTTTAAGTGAATGCTACTATTTTATCTATTGAACAAAATAAAAAAAAAGATAGTAATTCTTACTTCTATGAGTACAGTTTGTCCATATTCGTTGCTATAATTATATATTGAATCTAGTTTTCGAGTTTGTCCATGAATTCTTATTTTTGTCATGTTTTGATTCGTGACTCGTAACATTGTATTATTCAATTGTAAAGATGATTGATTATTTGATATATTCAGATAATGTGGTGTGCAATCAATATGCTTCGGTGATAATACTACATATTCTATATTAATAGATAATAATTTTATTTTTAAAAATTCTTACAAGCAAATGCTGGCATTTCTGTCAACCATGCTGCAACAATACCATAACCCAATGCCACAAATAAATAAGCACGTAATTGATATTTTCCAAACAAACCTTTGTATGTACTTTTAAGTGCTTTATCAGAATCCCAACTTTTCTTGAATGTTTTCACATTTCGTAATGTTTTAGTCATATCTAATTCCGCAGAACTAATTGTTGAAATCGGTGGCTCTAAATAGTTCAATAAAATGCTGATGTCTGCAGAGTATCGCTAGTCAATTGAATCAAAAAACAATATATAGACCGAGAGAGATTTCTCTACACATAAAGAATAATAATAGATAGCGAGAAACAGAAACCATTATATGTGGAATAAATTAATATTTATAAGAAACAAAAAAAATTCCAAATAACATACGTTCGTTAGCCATATTGTCTTGATTCTCAATTGTCATCATGTTTTGTCTTATAAAACATAAGAATGAGTAGTTTTTACTCTATTCACTCTTTTTTTCTTCTTCTAACTATATAATCTTGTTAAATATCATCAATAAGAAGAGTATAAATTTAGACAATAGTGTAGGTGGTATGGATCTACTAGTTATATTTTAGTTTGATATATATACGAACAGAAATGAAATAATGATCTTTATTTCATCAACGATGATCGATATGACTTTTTTTTATTGAAAAGTAATCATTCAATGTTCATATTTGTATAAGTCAATTTAAAAAGAAAAAGATTTTTACTAAATAACATTTAGATTTATAAAAATAATCTTATATGTTACTTTGTACAAATAGTAATCATTGTCGTATTTTCTCAACAGTTACCTGACATATACACTGATCAAAATATATGTCTTATTGTATTTTTCTTTCGTCCTTCTTGTATCTTTTGAAAATTAAACTTACTTACTTCTTTATTTTTTATTGATGAAATATTATTGGAAAATCGATTAAAGTATTGTAAAGAAATAAGAAATTTGAATCATCACGCTATCGATATATAATCGATACTTATTCGGACAGACGAAAGGAACGAGAGAAATATGTACGTGATGTTCTTTACTATTATACATATATTACGTTAATATCGCTGACATAACATTTTATAAAAGTGATAAAAGCATCTTACACATTCGAATTATTGAAAATTTTAGTATTAATAAATACGACTGCTGATATAGATCCATATCACTAATCATAAGATAAATTATTCATGCACTCGATTAACTCTTCATTTAATTTATCATATCAATCTGTATACTTAATATTTGAATAAAGCAATCCTTTCTTTTCTTTCTCATTTGTTCAGTACATTTTCTTGTCTTTTCTTACTATCATCGTCATCTCATCAAACGTTCAACGTTCGTTTACATTTATCAAAAAGCATCAGCTCGTTTTTTTTTGCTTCGCACTCTTTTTTTCTTCTTGACATACATACATATATATATATATAATCAACCAATCATACCTAGTTGTCATCCGTTTTTTTTCTCCTTTACATTGACAGTTTAATACTATTATAATTATTTGTAACTATACTAACCTTCATTTTTCATCATATAATCGTTGAGAATTTGAAATAATATTTAAATTCTATATAATACAATTATTATCCTTTCTTTTTTTTTTGTAAGTCTTTATTTAATCGCAAAAAAGAAAACGTTTTGTCTCATATAGAACAAAAAACTCGAAACTAATAAACATAAAATACAAGAGAAAGAAGATCTATGTCTGCATGTGTGTATTACTATTAATAATTTCTTTATCTATCTGCGCATAATAACTGCACCACCTTTAAGGAGGAAATAGAAGAATACAAACAAAAGAATAATACACAAATAATAGCAGACATGCAAAAAGAAAAAACAAATGTTTGTTTTTGGTATATAAAAAAAAAGATAATCATAATGTATACAAACGGATCGAGAAGTTTATCAACCAGCACCAAGTTATATATATAAACGAAATAAACAAAACGATCATGAAACATCTAAAACAAAAAACATTTAATTGCATATCATTTGAAAAGATAAAAACTTACAGGAAAATTGTAATTCAGAAAATCTTCGTGTAAGTTGATCTTGAGTAAATCGAACAAAACCTTCATATTGTTCTAGAAGAAGAAAAAAGGCAGTATAGGTTGATCTGTAACAATAGAAAAAAAAACTTTGATTTTACCACTAAGTTTATTTGATAAAATTCGATCGTATTCTTCACGAAGTTTTTCTTCACGTTCTTTCAATAATCTTGCACATATTATATTAACTTGTTTAAGTGTTAAAAGATGTTGTGAATTTGTTGTTGTTGAGCGACATTCATTAAGATTAGTATTATTATCATCGTCACTTAATTCAGATGATGTTGAAATTTTCATCTGATGACGTCGTTGAAGACGACGAACTTCCTCTTTTATTCGAGTTAATAAAACATCTAATATATCAATAGAAAAAAAATGAATTAAAATATTATAGATTTTCTTTTCTAATTAATTTACCAGTCGTTAAAATTGGTTGAACATCAGGAAATACTGTTGATTCTGTTGTTTCATTAGTCATTGTTGTTGTTGGTGATGAAACAACTGTCATTGGAAAACAACGACGTTGTCGTTTTGATGATGATGGTGATGCTGCTGTTCGAGATTCAAATGGATTATTATTGGAAGAATCTCGATCGTGTTCAAATGAACGTTTTAATGCCATACATGAAGCCATTTATTACGAGACAATGAGAAATAAATAATCTTTAAAAAAAAACAATAACCTAATGGATTGATTCTAACTGGAGCAATCTCGAACGAGAGAGAAGTGAACTGTAAGAAGAAAAAAAAAGTCGTTGTGAAAGGGGCTTCGATTTGAATCTTTTATCGGTTTATATCTTTAACCAATGAAAGAAAAACATACGATAGATGGCGCTACAATACAACAATCTATTTAATAAAATGAGAAAAATGATTTTGAATTTTGTTTACTGTTACGATTAATTGGTAAAAAATCATATATATTTTTGAATCACACAATAAAATGCTAGAAAAAAATAGCGCTATTATGCATGAGCTTATAAAAAGTTGATGACATTTTAATATGCGAAGGACTTGCAAGCGCACAATCAGGGACAGAAGTTTAAGCGAATTTGTTTTCTTTTGAGTTGTATAGACACAGTTACCTTTTTTTTATTTTTCCTTCACATTATAAGGTATTGATCTGGTCTAAATGTTGCTATATATATATGTATGTCATCATGTAGTAGACCTCTTATAGTATCTGTACCATTTAATGTGAAAGAAAACCTAACATGTATAAGAAAAAATTAAACAATATCAAATCGTATACAAAAACAATTTCTAGTTTGCTTTCTCATAAGAGTTTTATGTCATTTTTCTAAAAAAACAACATGCTGTCTGTAATTGCGATCTTGATTTATCTATTTTTAGAAGTGCGTTTGAAACCTCAATTGCACGCTATTTTTTCCGGAGAAGAATGGAAACAATCCATGTTATTTTGAATTTTGGTAAAAACAATCATCTTCTTTTCTCCATCTCATAGTGAGAGTTGCAGCTTTCTATGGCATTTTATTCACAGATTATTTGAAAAACATCAATACGCTTTATCTTTGAAATTAATATTAGAAAAGATAAATTCTTTGCTTCTATATACAATGAAATATTTTCGAAATAGAATAATTTCTCAGACTCCATCTATTACAGTAAAAGCTAGTTTGAAACTTGTGTATTATAAATAAATTTACAGAAACTAAATTTTGCGAAAGGGTAGGTATTCTTGAGAACACCGTAGGTGTGTGTGTGGGTTGGGGGGGGTGGGAAGTGGATGTAGTTGAAGAAATACACACGCACATACACATTCACACCCACACCCACACCCACACCCACACCCGCACCCACACCCACACCCACACCCACACCCACACCCACACCCACACCC